AACAATAGAAAACAGTGTTAGTTAATCGCCATCTTCCTTAGTTCTCGTATCTAATACCTGTTTGTCACCGATCATCAAGAAAAACGGTGAATGTAACATGTAAATGCCATTATATAAGACACCGATCATCCGATCGTTTAAGATTAAATATTTTAATTGTTACATTTTGCGTAATATCTACAAAGTCATTATTTATAATATTAGTTATCAAAACTGTCATACCACTTTCACTGTTATTTAGAAAAGATAAAGTCCTAGCAGGTGCAAATTACTGGGTGTGTGGGAAACTCCGTGGACCATCAAGTTAACCAGTTTTTGAGCGTAAGTGAAATTTTGTTTATTCCGTCTATGTTGCTTTTAGCGGATCGAAAAGCTAATTAAATATTAAGTGAGGCCGTAAGTTGCTCATTTTATGAACCGATAATTTAATATCTCAATCAAACGAAATGGTAATGTATTAAACAAAATTACCACTTATCGGCACTTTATATCATCAGTAGCCATAATATTTATTTACATATTGAAGACATAATTGCGTATGTCAACACAGCATCAAATTATGCCAGACTATTAAGTTTCTCCTTTATGCCAAACTATTTTGTGTTAACGCGTGTTGCTGTACGTACCATCGTAATTTAGATTTAAACTTAGTATACATGAACTTTCATATACTTAAAATTATGATCTACATATTTTCCTAATATCTATCTTCATATTTCTAAACAAAATATCAAATTTCTATCATACAAGGGACACCATAAGGAAACCTTATAAAATAACTATACTCGGATGATACGTAAAAGCTGTGCTGTAGTAATGCAAATATTTTCACATACGATTTGCCAGAATTGTAATAGGGTATTATTCTCCGGCATATTTTGAGGTAGAGGCCTGCAACTCCACTGCGTTACTAAATCTCTATCCTGATCGGTCTGCTACCGATTGATCTGTCATCCTAACAGATCATTGAGAGCTATCAGAGTATGCCTGCAGGTTGGCCACAGCACATAATCGTGAGGAATGTGCCTAGGTGTAAATATCGATGTAGTCCGTGATCAGATCAGACGCGTTGGCGTTAAAGCCGGCAATTTGCGTGGAAGCTGCGGATTGTAAATCAAATTAAAAGCCACTTACAGTCCGGTCTGATGCACGTTACTGATAAACAGGGCTGCCGGTGAAAATATTAAAATATTTCTCTTATTACTATAAACTATAAACTCTTATTACAAAAAATATTACAGAATCAATGGATAATGAATTTGTCAAATCGATAGTACATTTTGCTAAAAGTAATTGAATTACTTTACAACTGTAAAGTTAACTAACGCGGGTGACTGGTCCATTAAATAAAAAGAAAACAAGTATTTCAAATAAACGACCAAGTAGGAGCCGAACTAAGGGTTCCGCACATTAAATTTAAAAACCATAGGTAGGCATTTTATGGGATGTCCCTATCCTTTATATTTTTGAAAACTTTAAGCGCAGTTGTTTCGGATTTGTACTTTTTTTACTCTTGGAGTTGTTGGAATGCCGAAAAGAGAATTTTTGACTCGATAGTTTTCTATTGTATCAACACTTTCGTATCTCATATTATGACGAAGAGTACCGTATTATAAAAAATAGTACCACTGTTTGACAACCCTTTATATCCGTGAAAGTACGAGGACATACCAATCTTATATATCAAAAGAACACCTCCAACTGCTACCCGTTAGTGTATCATGTGTTTATGCAAACAACGCTTCACCTGTAAACTAGATGAAACTCTGTGAAACCAGTTGAAATGAATTATCATACCGTTTTATTGGCCACTTTATATGTTCCGATATTCGCACTCCTTGAATAATCCAATGCAAATTATGCGTAAGATTTATCCGCTTCTCTTTATTTCATATTGAATATTGTCATAGTTAACTCTGTGATACTTACAATGAATGTCGGTTGACTGAATAGACAAAGTGATCTGATGTCAGCTCTATTAGAGAACCTTCACATTTACTTATGTTTAATGGATGCTAGGCTTGAATTATTCAGTCAATGGCAATATTTGTCTTTGAATTATTCTTTGACAATTTTGTTGTTGGATACCTGTTTCCGTTGAAAAATAGAATTAACTGACTTAGTTTACATTTGATTTTACAAGTTTTCATGGCAGAAGAACTACGTTGCAAAGTTTGTGCATATTTGTACATGTTAAGTTTTTAATGTATTTTTTTCATTACTAATTCACTAAACATCATGCAAATGTTAACCAAGAGAATAAATATTTTTGTTGCACTCTCTTTTCTTCTGAATCATAATTTTGTTAATATACGATAGGCAAAAATTACAAAAGTTAACATTTTAACATAAAGATAACGCAAGTATACTGTATATGTATAACGACTTAGATCTTTCTCTTAAATGTGAAAAACAGAGAAAATAATCCACCCTCATTACCTTAACTCATAAATAGTACCTTTTACAAACGATGTGATGAAAATGACGCAACAAAAAAAGAATTAGTTTATTTTTTATGACATCGATTTTCATCAAATAGTAATGTTCTATTAGATGCACTATAATATGAGCCTAGTAAAAATAAAACAGTGGGATCTGTTGCATAAACTAACCTAGTGTTAGATACAGTTCAAGACAATGTTGAAATTTTCCGCAAAACGATGGGAACATTGTTCAACGCTGTTCGAAGTATATACGAATATTACACTCTACTAGTATTGTCAATCAGGTCTTCTATATAATAAAGAAAAATAAATTTGATTTTATGAAAATTGTCTGGTTTTATTATACAAACAAAAGGTAGACCCTCAGTAACCCACAGTAAAGTAAGTAACCTTTACCGATCTTAAAATAACCATACAAAACGCCAACAAATCATAATTAATAAAAAGAAATGAGACAGTCCCTAGTTTAATAGGTGCTTTCGAGTTATCAATGATAAAGGACTGATTTTAATTTAACAAAATACAGACCATCTTCAGTGTTATTGATAAACAAGGTTCTCACTCCCTTGAAATGAAAAAAGTGATAAATACCTACGAAGAATAACGTACAATCGTATCGAGGTTCCCATTTATAAAAATCGCTTATAAATGGAATAACAGTTGACCAAAGGCAGCTGCCTCGAGCTGAATGGATTTATTTTAAAACACATTTATACAAAAAGTATTGTATCCAACATTTATTAAGTATGTACAGAGTTATTATGATAACTCGCCGTTTCATGTTTTGAGAAGGCACTCATTGTCATTATTATGAGGCAATGAATTGTGAACCAAGAATGAGATCATTCTTTTCATGTCCTTTCATGACAATTATAATATCGATTGTGGTGGTAACTGAAAAACTTCGAGAAATATGTTCCAACTACAATTATGAAACAATTGTTAACCACTTAAGTAGATAGTAAATGCTATTTCTAATAGTTCAAGTAAGATAATTGATTAATGAAAATCTTCATTTTAGTGAGAGGAATTGAAACAAAACTAAAATCATTTATTCAGTCTAGGATTTTACAAGAACTAATGAAAGTCGAAACTCTATGCCATCGGTTCGTAAATCTAAGCACTTGTACCGAATACCATTTCTCCTTGACTTATAGAAATGTCGAATCGGAATATGACTTCTTTAGACTATATAGTCGCTTTCCATAACAACATTAAAAATAAAAATAAAATATTAATTCGTCAATAGATTCATAAAAATAGGATATGACATAATAAAGAGCAATAATTAGATGTACAAAAATGTTATAGATTCATTCATAGATTGAATATCGAAACTATAGACCTTTAGCAATGACTAGGTATCCTAGGCATCGATTGTTCGACTGATTCTCAAGAAGATAGATTTGCCTTATCACAAAACACAACTCAATGCTAATAAACTTAAAATCTTCGTCCGATACCAAAAAGATAATATTTATAATATTAATCTTGAATACATCTCATCCGGCGAAATGGATGCTCATAAAATTTTACTTAATTACAAATGTTATAAATTAAATAGTTCATTGACACTGACCGAGATCGTAATTCACTTTCTTCCAACGCCTACTTCATAACCAATATTTGATTTCTGTTGTCCGCCCGCTGGACTGACTCACTCGTTTACTATTCACATTATTCATTCAACAAAATAGTTTTTATGCAAATAAAAATAAGGACGTTGAACTTCTTGTACAGTCAGTACGTCAAACTACGGAAGACCAAATTTCGGCAACCCATTTAGGCTTTAACTCGTTGGTTGTTAAGTTTAAAAAAGATTGCAGAAAATTTACCCTCTGTTGTTACCTAATATGCTGCTTTAGATATTTTCTATTTGCAAGTGATAATTAAAAATACCTACTTATAAGTTTCTAACAGAATAAGCGCCCAAACAGTTTATTATTTTAAATCTATAAATTACCTATGTCATTATTTTATAATAAAAATTTACAATAATAAACAGTGACATTGATTTTGACAGTGCATGACTGACAAATTTATCGACAGGAAGTTCAATATTTCGAATATTTTTTTTTCTCAGTCGATATGCCCATTTTTTTATTATAGGTACTGATTTCCTCTCAGAACGTTTATGTGCGTCATAATCAAATTATAGCTCCACCTAGGGAATGCCGGTAGATTTGGATCAATATTGCGATTTATATATTTTGATTCTGTATAAATTAAAATTATATAAGTAAATAATGCATCGTTTAAATCAAGTAGAGATAGCAAATTACCATCTTCAAGTTCTGATTCTAAGCACAGTGAACTAATTCTAAACACCATCCTTATATATAGAAGTTCAATCAAATCAAACCTTCATTACCTTTTGAAGTAGGTTTTATTTGATTGTACCTTTACGATTGATATCGCTCTACTGGAAATCGTGTTCGTCATTTTTTTTTACAGAAGATTATTGCTCCAGCGTCTATAAGGTTAAAACCATCTTCAGCCTCTCCAATCGAACACATCAATGAACCAATATTATCTACTATTCTCTATGACACTTACCACCAGCTCCGCGAACTTTGCGTCCAGCTCATCTTGCGGCGGCATAGGATGGGTGGGAGTGACGGCCTGTAGTGCCAAACCGCCTTCTCCGCCCACCACGCAGTATGTAATCTCGGGTGGTTCATCATTCTGGAATAATAAAGATATTTAGACAGAAATAATACAAATAAATTTTATGTGGTCTTCACAAGTTGACTTCAATAAATTACATATATACTAATATTGAGAATAGGAAAAGCTTGTTTGTCACTGTTTGTTTTCAATAATAGCATATCAACTGTAGCATTTATTAAGATTTTAAAGTAATAAATACGAGTACAAACTAAAAGCGTCGATTACTGCATGTATACTAAAATACACGTAATTCAACTCACGAAGTTTCACCGGAAATAAGATACAATCAGTGGCCTTGTCACCGAATAAAACCAATTTCTACCGAGAAACTTTGTGATGGACAGCATTCGATTGTGCTTAATGATAACGTGAGATAAGTAATTGATATTTGAGCTTTTGCATAAATTATATTCTATAAATACTGTATTATAGCCTCATACGCTTTTTACGCTAGCGCGACGTTGTAGTGGTAATTGCATTGGGTCCGCGGTCTTAGGTATAGGATGGGTGACCAAATGCGAGGGCAGGAACACGGAGAGCCGTGCTTCGGACGGCACGCATACAGCTAGCTAGTCACGATTGCAGAATCGTTCCATTAGTTTAAGACGACATTAACCAAACAAATCTGACATTAATTATAGCTTAAAGACGGAACCTTAACGGACGTTTGTGCAACTGACCGTCAGCCTTGTTTCCCAGCTATCGTTAAAACCGACAAAAACCGTACAGGGCCCGCTCGGTGGCTGACCCATTATCTATACTATTCAATTTGATTCCATCTGTAGGGAAGCACTGTGCCCGAGCAATATGGACTTTAATAGTCTGCCGATAATTTTAATGATAAAAGTGTTTTATCTCGGAACTTTTACAGCTTCGTTATGCCGTTGGTATCGGCTGCATATCCAGTCGCAAACAGCCGCCAATACGCAATGGGCCCGCGTGGGTTATGGCCATCCATAAGGAATATCTGTGCCCCAGCAGCATAATGAAGATGATGATGATGACGCTTTGACATTAGAACGATACGCCTCGAATTTGTATAGATGTGATATAACTACTCCTAGTTGGCATGGCTTTTACAGAAATTTTCATCATACTTCAAATAACCAAAGGAAAATCCTTGATCATGAAATACTCTGCCCATTGGTAACCATATGATGTTCTGTAATTTTTAAGTTTATAGTGATCGTGAAACAAACGTGGCTAGAAACCATGTGTCCTGATTGACCACATCACATGTGTATGATGGACTGAAATATGTATGTTACTGTCTTCTATATCCTGTATCACTTTTTATTTTATTTTTTTTGTTTATATTGTAAAGTGTAATGTGATGGTCAATAAAAATACTTACTTACTTACTTACTTATTATACAAAGATTAATAAAATTTCAAAGCATAAAACGAATCTCAAAGTAAAGACTACAAATACAAAATATTCACAAATAGACCAGTAAAGACACAGATAACAGCGCGCAATAATAATACATTCCTTTGCATAAATAAAGTCAGCGTTAACACTTGATAAATGAGAGAATAAGGAAGATAGCGCCGATTCTTTTCCATAAACAGACTGCCTCGCAATTGTTGATGCAAATTCTACAAAAATGGAAACCAGTAGACACGGTCGCAAGCAGCCTTGTAAAATATTTCCTCTCTCGTTTACCTATTTACCTGTACAAAGTAATGTACAATTTATTCACTAGAAGCGACCCTTATTGGCACCGACATGTCATGTTCTGTTCAATAAATTGTCACCATGGATACTTCTACTAAAGTACCTTGATTAATTATAATTCCCCTAGTTACACAAACTTTAATTAAAATCGACATTATTTTAAAGAGTAATTAGGACCTCGATCTTAACATCCATCAAAAAAATCTCATCTATGCAGTATGGGTTGGGAGGCATGGGAGGCCTACAAATGCAGTCATCCGCTGAAATCAAAATGATATTATAAATAAAAATGTATGTGCGTGGGGGGGAGGGTTACTCATGGTTTTAAATTTGATAAAGTATTTAATATAGTTTATTTAACTCTCATGGACCAAAGATAAACGAGTACATTCCACTTTATATGTTACAAACTAATATATACATGATCAAAAGAATTTATAAAATCAAAAAGGATTTATTCAAATCCGACTGTTAGTTGAAGAGAGTACTGTATTCAGACATTGGATCTGTTATGTACTATGCTGAAATTAAGAGTGTGTGACAAAGAAGATAAATTTGGCAAACACAAATCTTAAGATTATATAACACAGGACAGAGATATTGAGCAATTACACGCTTTAATACAATGTATGTTAAATATGGGTAATAAAATGATATTTCTCAAAATATGTACTAAAAGTAACAGTGCAGCGTATATGAGTCACAATCCATTTCCGACTCATGGTCAAACGCCGGAGCATGCGCATGTCCCTTTTGAACTGCGAAGAACGTCTCGCGCGCGAACCCATTAACTAACCGTGCAGGGGTGAGAGACTAGTTGAAAAATGAGAAATAACATAAAGCAGATAAAAAATGAACACATACATAGTAGACTCACTATGTACAAATCAACGTTATCTAGCACCTCCAACAAGCAAACATTTTAATGACACGACGTATATTATGAAATCAGTGGAAAATTTTCGTTATTAGTTTGTAGAAATCTGTAATATATATTATATGAAAAGACAAGCTAGGAACTCTACATAATCTATACAAATGAATAAAAATGAGAGTAATAGAGAGAAAAATAATAAAAACAACACTTTCCATTTACCATACCCATTACACTGCGGTACGAAATTCGTCAGGTCAGCTAATAGATAACATTTATTATAAATGCAGAAATGTTTTCCTTGACAAGTTTAGGTTATAATTTACATAGAAGCATAGCCGCAGCCCTAGAACCCATATGCCTGTATTTTTGTTCGTGACATCATCGTTGCACGCCTCACGACGACGGAATCGTTCCATATAAGAACCTAAAGGCAATTTCCTCAGACTCTTTTACAGAATCCAATCATAAGTTACTCGTGAAATTATAAATAAACATTGGAGTTGAATAGAATATAAAAACACCAATCTAAAAAGACGTGAACAAAAAAAAAATTTTTTTTTTAGACTTAATCCGTTTAGGAATACTTATAAAGAATTTTCACATTGAATACTCACAGATTTTTTGCGAAGTAAACGTTTCCTCTTTAATGTAAAACTAAAGAAATTGCTATCAACTCTCTTTTCACTTGCATTCATTTTTTGTTTTCTTTAATAAACATCACAGTGTTTTCACAAGATGTGGATGCATCCTAACAATGAATTTACTCAAATAACAACGCTCGCGATACTCGCCGGAGGGTGACCCTGCACCGTGGCACTCGGGCGCCAGGCAATAAGTCCCAATCAAAAGAAAGACAGCTCTCCGTCTGACAGTTGTAATTACTTCCGTTCTTTTATCGAAACATATTGTCTCGCTCTAATTCGATTAACAATTAACAGTTGGAATAGTTTAGAACATTGACGTTGACAGAGGAGGGGTTATTATATTTTATCGGGTCACACAGTCAACTATTTTCCGTAAATATGTGCTTTAAAAAATACTTTGAAAAACATTACTATTTTTCTGTTGCAGTCGGGTTAAAATTAAATGTGCCAGGAAGCCAGCCTGCAATATCCTGCAGATCCATTTTTTAAATATTTTTGAATAAACAATTTGAATGCAAAACTCATGAAAAAGGAACTAATCAATCAAAAATTTTGAGATAGGCGTAACATTTAACCAAAACAATGAAACTGTGTTACCTTGTAATTATTGTAACCTTTGAACTGTATAGACGCGGTCTGTATATTTCCAAACGGACTTAGTTTATCTATTTTACAATGAATTTGAATATAAACAGATCCTGATTGCGTATGACAAATTAAATCTTTAACCTAAACTTCTTCGTTCGCCACCGGGTATCAAAAGTAGAATTCAAATATATCAATAGATCAATGAATAAAGGAGTAGTTGTTCAATCGACAGTTTTTTTCTTAATTGGAAATGTGATCTGGGGGCCAATTCTACTAAATAAATTTTGTTTAAATCGAATCGAAAATGGATCAAAACCGAAAGAAACTACAGTTTTTAATGGTTTTTCTATTCTACTAAGTGACATACGATACAATTCCAGTTCTATTTTAGCTGGAATTGTATCGTATGACACTTTGTAGAATAGAATAACCATTAAAAACTTTAATTTCGTTCGGTTTCGACTCGTTATCGATCCATTTTCGATTCGATTTAAACAAAATTTATTTAGTAGAATTGGCCACCTGGTCAAAGTGTGAATAGGTCAAAGTGCGATTGTATTAATTAATAGGGATGCCCTTGTTTATAGAGTTTATAGTTTATAGAATCTATAGAGATTTTAAAGACGACAAATCATCGAGTTAGAATAGGAATCCTATTTGACACATTAATTTCACGCTTTACGGAGTTATGAGTTGCTGTGCAAATATCAATTCGATTTAACTTTACGAAGGTAAGATGCGCTGTGCAAATCTATGAGTAATACTTGATTGTTATGTTTGTTTGTTTGCATTGAAGAGGCTCCGAAACTAATGTATTATAAAAATTCTTTCAACTACGTGTAGTTACACTATACGCAAATAACATTTACACGGGCAAAGTCGCGGGAAAAGATCATATATAAAAAATACTTTAATTTTACGAAGATACCGCTTTGCAAATATCAATTCAAAATTTAAAAATTGCATTAGTTCAAAATTATACTTGATGAGAATTCGAGTCGCAAACTTTAATTTCTCGTACGGGTTAATTAAAAAGAAAAAAAAATACAAATACATAATACAATATAAATAATCTGCGAACTAGATAAATGATTGTAACTAACGTAAATTCAATGACTTTAATTACTAAACTAGGTAACTAGATTTTGCGTGAGCGATCGTAATAAAATTGTAAACCGATCTCCAGTTTAATGTTTGACATCATTCAGATGTCTATCGCATTGGAAAATATCAATTAATAAGATAGACAAATAACTCGTTTATTGGACTACTACTACCACCACAATACAAGTGATTGGTGTATCATCATCATCAGCCCTTTTACGTCCCCACTGCAGGGGTCAGGCCTTCCTTATGGATGGTTAAGGAGGATGGGCCATGACCCTCCACGCTGTCCCAATGCGGATTGGAGGGTATTGACGACTGCAAATGCAGCCTGGACCAACGGTTTAACGTGCCTTCCGAAGCACAGAGTAGCTCGAGATAATAATTTTTTGGTCACCCATCCCGTGACCGACCCTTGCGAAAGTTGCTTAACGACAACGACCGCGGGCCGCGGCGCTTATCCACTGCGCCACCGAGATACTCTATGGATCAGGATTGGTGTATAGACCAATTATATTACTCGTAGCAACAGACATCAGAATCGTTTGTACAAACAACTAAGAATGTATAATCGAATTGCTTACATAACTAAACACCATTTTTTTAAAATAATGTTTGGGTGAATTTTTTGTATCGCTAGCAAAATGGGTCATAGTAATCGGAATATCAAGCCCTTGATCAACTAAGATGAAAGTAGCACGGCTACTCAAACTACTCAAACGATACTCGACCACAACGTGATATTTACGAATCGTATTACTTTAACGCAATCTGATCCGTTACGGAACAAGTGTTTCACTCATTTCTATGCATTACATTTATTATATGTATTTAAAAACATCTCAAACATACACACATATAATTTTATTTAACTGTTCCTAACCAACAAGACCGCAGACCAATTAAATTAAATACATATTTATATTAAATACTCAATACTACTGATATCATTGTGAGGTTTTTTTATTACTTCAATCAAAATCTCGATTTTCAAAAGTTCACTTTACTCTTTGGCTGATATAATAGAGAAAAAAGTAATCGACATTAACGTAAATAAATTAATTAAAATTTAATCAGTTTATTTATTACACTACACTCCTTTTATAGAGACTCCGTTGTTACGCAACAATTGTCATCTACATATAATCGTGTCCCAATCTAAAGCTTTTATCCGGAAATGAAATTTTATAAATACTTTTTAACTCCATTAAATCCTTTTTTTTTCAGTAACTTTAGCGCAATAGAAATAAAGCCTGTATGAGACAATATTCTTTACGACCATAAAAACTAAGATTATATATTTTAAGAAAATTAATATTTTAAGATTTATTTTTTTAAACTGGTCTCAGGTATAGCCACATATAGATAAATAGAATACGAGTAAACCGCCTGACAGATACCGACATTTTGACACGGAATCGCAAAATCCTTGTAAATTACAAAATTAATATTTTCCATTATCATTTTAAAATAAAAACAAGAAATTAAAACACATAGTAATCATCAAAATAAAAATATCATCAAATTTTGTTGTATTTTTTTTATAATCACTCTAGCCAAATCCGTTCCGATAACATTCGCGGTCGCAATAATATAAAATAACAATGGAACAAAACATATTGTGATGCAGGAAATCTCGGTATAACGCAGCAAACTAAAGCCAAGTGAAATGATAAGAACTGATAAACACAAACCGATAAAGTCGGTCAAAGAACTGGTTGGTTACATACAATACAAAATGTGCACTGTAAAACATCGAATTGCAAATTGAATTATTTCTTTTATAATTTTAATCGCTTGTACTTTTTTAATATCTTTCTAGTTAATAAAATAAATATCATTAAATTATAGCCGCTCTATCGTTAACTTAATAAAGCAACGAATTTCTATGTGATTTATCTATATCTTATGATTTATCTATCTTCGAAATAACTTTTTAAAAACAAAATTCCGCATCAATAAATCAATAAAATAATATTTACAAGCTCGATTTTTTCATTTACTTATTTCTTAGATACACCCGCTGTATGTACTTAATAATATTTCAATTGTGCCGTTGTTCTGCTAGATGAGCGTTTAATTGAAACAAACAAGGTTAAAATAATGTCATAGATAAAAAAATGACGTGAACGAAACACTTCAGAAGATAAAAAAAAAGAGAAACATAAAACTAAGTATATAAAGTTAGGCTTCTAAGAAGGAAGAATATCTAATATAAAATACTCATAACCAACCTGTAAACACGGGCATAGGGGCCATCGGCGTCGCAACGCATGCGGCATCTTCTTGCGTGGTGGGTCAGGTTGCGCGGGGGGCTCGCCGCACGCCCAGCGCACGAGGCGCGCGCGTGCTGCCTCCGCCGCCTCCAGCCCGCGGGACCACGACGGCAGACCCTTGAAAGAAATAAATAAAACTACATTAATATGTTTTAGTACGACATAAGAATTTAAATTACAACGAGAAACTGATAAAAAGCACGAAATTCGATGGATGTAAACACTGAGAAAGACTATAAAAAGATATTTCACGAACAAAGTTGATCATGTGCTATCAGACTTATATCCAATATCGAGGAAGCATAAAAGACAATGAGCAGAGGGGTAGTCATCTATCAAAGTTACATTCAGTCAGTTACCACCGCTAATAAGCTATGCTATTCTTATTACAATAAAATAATAACACTGTGCTGGATGTTGAATTCAAGACTGTTTTACATAACATCACTACCCCTTTTACCAAAAATCTGACAAATTCGGATATACAGTGGATGTGTCCCGGAGAATATTTGATAAGTGCTTTTGAATATAGAAGAACTGAAATTTAAGAAACGTTTCATTACCCCTAAATGTCAATTATCTGAGGTGGATACGGTGGATATAATATCTCACTCACTTCTCGAATCTCTCGAGTTCGTTATGCTATTCTCTGATTTAATTGCCGGCCGCATCAATATACAAAATGATATTTTATTCATATTGTCCACGAGACAATTGTCACAATACAGAGATAACTAACAAAAAAAATATACACAGCGATATTATAAATCTTAACAATTTCTTTGTTATATCACTTGTTATCACAAAGGGCTAAGTCTATAACTATGAGATGGTACCCTTTACACAGCGGCTGAACAAACATGTTGTTTAATAAAGTCATATAAATTAATTTGATAAGCATGCTTATGATAATAGGCCATATCATCAATTATACAATAGACGGCATATCACTATCTGAGTTTTACATAGCAACTGGCATTAGATAGAACACAAATATATTTTCTACGTAAACTGAAATACCCACTTGTTTATTCATAAAACGTTCCAGCGTTCACATGCAACTGAAACCTAGATCTAAATCAAACAGGCATGCAACTATGAGATAAAGATAACGTAGCCAAGGACACGGCCGCAACAGCGGCATCGTTGTAAACGCGCAATTTGATAAACTTCAACAGTGACGCAACAATCGCGTCTTAGTTAACGGTAATCCGACAGCAAGAGTGAAATGCCCACGGCCCGACATAGTCGCATAGAATTAAAATGTATAAATAGACAAGATGATGGAAAAGCGAAAACGATTTAGCTATGACTTTCTTAGAGGCGACGACTACTTTGTGATGTAACGCAACGCTGTAGGAAGCGTTTCAGATTACATCGCCCGATGTAAATCAACTCGATATTCTAGAAATCCACATTTGTGACACTTATTGTTATATTAATCGCTTTGGAACGGCCACCGTTAGATAAGTAATTGATATTATTTAATACGATTTTATATGCTTTCTCGGTGTCTCGGATTCGAAAAAAAAAGAGAAAATAAACTTCAATTCTTTAGCAAACTTTAACTAAATAAGTGACAAAACTAACTCAATAGAGTAATTCCAAGAAAAAAGTACCTAGCAAGAAAGCAAAATCATTGCCATATACAATTTAGAATACGTCTCAAACATTTCATTCTATTTTGGTAACTTGTTTACTTTACTTTAGTGTTATAAAAAATTATTAAGTTTTTATTCTGTTTACAGTAGTATGCCTTCAATACTTTTTAGTAATCCATTACATCGAACTTGTATTATCAAATGTTAATATTTCAAACCTCAATGTCAAGCGTGACCAAGCGCCGCAGCGCAAGTGATTTATGGGTATTTTAAATACAATAAGATAAAAAAAATATAATAATAACTTATGAAACTTTACCATTGTCATGATTTCTTAAATTTCAAAAGGCTAATTTAAGCCCACTGAGTTGTATGATGATTAGTTCTGATAATTCTTTCGATTTCAACTTGTCTTGGGTTTCAACACACTGTACGAGAGCTGGAGACCGCCCGCATATTGTTCACTTGAACTTTTCGCTCGACATTTACCGAAATATGATGGAGATACGAATGCAAGATAATCTTAGAAATATTATATTTTACTTCGTATAAACAGATTTGGAAAGGAAACTCTAGAGTGTAACCAAATACACTGTAGCATATAACAAAGTCGACGTACCAAAAAGAAGTAATGGACATTGAGCAACGAATTGCATAGGTTTATTGGCAACAGCTTTAATTTCGAAATACATTGTTAAATTTCTTAACAAGTCATGTTACTACCAGTAATAACAACAAACTTCAAGAAATATATGAAAATTCATTAATCAGAAATTCGCAAACTTATCTACGCAACCGTACTCTCGGCAGAGCAGAAAACTGAAGAACAAAGTCAGCAGTAAAATATTACATTAATAAAAACATGTTTTCCAGATGAACAATCACCAACAATAGTAAGAAAGCAAAAACAAAAGTATAACGAATGCAACAATAGGTAAAACAACGGACGCATCGGTTGCCTGATCGCACTTTCTTGCGGCCATGAACGTGAACGCAGTATGTCACCGGGTCGACATCAGCACCGGCGGCACGTACACACCGGCCACTAGGATGTACGGACGGGTGAAAGTGAACTCGCTCGCATTAGACCAGGACCCACTTGGATTGTATACCTACCTACTGGAACAGAGATATACCGGAATGCTCAAATTTTGTATTCGTTTGTACAAGAACATATAGCCATATTATAACAAGACTCTCGTTAATAAATGACTGGCACGTTATCTCGTCTGGTATCATCAAATGCCCTTACTTAATAATAAGAAACTTATAACGGTTATTTAGTTACACATAGCTCTGTTTGTGTCATTCCTATGTGACTTCCAGAGTAAAAAAGAGAAAACACTGTAAACGTTTATAGATTGCTTATTGGTAAGGTCATTGGTGCATACAATTCTTTCGTATTTTCAGTTTTCCCATAATAAAGAAGTTCTACCTACTTGAGATATATGAATATTCACTTTTATTATTTTATAGAGAACTAGGTGTCTATATGTGAAGGAATTTTTAAAACCGATCCACTAGTTACGGAGCCACAAAATGCAAACAAACCATTAAATGAACTATGTTTGTTTAGATAAAGACCTAATTGGCCTTTACTCACAGTGATTTTACATTAGGTACTTGTTTTATTAATATTTTTTATATCTTTTTGTTTGTAAATGTCAATAAAATATGTTCTATTATTTAATATTTATATAGATTGTTATCATTTTGCAAGTAATTAAATTCACTTTCAATACAAATGACCTCAGTTATAGCGCAAACATGTTTATAATTTAAATGTTAGCTCAAGCTCGCTAAGCTAAGCTTGCGAACTTATCAAACAACTTTAACTGGCCGAACTGGCATTATCATTATTTGCTATTTGGCCGTAGATAATCCATTAGTTCACATTTAGAAGGTAAGCCGATGTTTCGGATATAACATAAGCGTAACTTTGATATTAAAGATTTCCACCTTAAGAAATGAACATCGGATAATCAACAACAACCTATACGTCAATACTGTAAAAATAAATCAACCAAGATTCATATTCTTCTAAAAAATGCTTAAAACAAAGCCTTTCATTTAATATGTCAGGCGATATACTTATAGTTTGCAACCTTCTATTTTCTCTTATTTATCCCCTGAAAGTAGCCCCCTTTTCAAATTCATTTATTAGCGTTTATGTATTTCTCTTTAGGTTACAAACTAACTTATGTGTACTAAGTTTCAATTAATCAAGTGCTTTCGGAAAAAAATAACTGAGACCGACAGTCGAAAAGACATGCGAGTGATCTTTATAAGTGTCTCTTTTTGAAGTACGAAACCCCAAAAATTATTTAATATAATACCATAATCACTTGAATTACAACAAAGTAAATAAATGAGACAGATGGCTATCAAACCTTTCAATGTAATCTAATGAACTCGTTGAAAACGATATTATTCAACGATAAAACATTCATGCGCTATAAGCCTCGTGGTGATAATGACCTGTATATGAGCTCATTGACTGAATGGAACGTAATTAAGCTACTGAATGTGTTCATTGAGTCCTTGAAACGTCACAAGTCAACATTCCAAAAGTATTAGCAAAAGGTTACTAGGCTAACATTATCTAAGTCACAATATTTATGACCTCATGAGAACCTTCCTTTATGAACTGCCAAGCTAATTGGAATGATAAAGAAAATCATCTCGTCTATAACCTAAAATCAATACAGATATTTAATGTATACTAATTATAATTTTGAGTTATACGACCACTTCTAGTTATATTTAATTGTAAAAACAACAACAGAAATATTGAGTATATCGATATACTTATACAAGAGGCCTTTATCCTTTGCAAAATAACCTGCTTGTTTTTATGTTAGAATATCGCCTCTAATTTCCATACAATAAGGCTATCGTGTAAAGTTATCTATTTAACTAAACTATCTACAATCTAATAATCCATTGTTATGAGCATATAAGCTGTCTAACAACTTCCAAACCTGTGTTTACGTTAATCGCAAAATTGGTCTACACGATTGATTTGATTCCGACGCGTTGTTCGCTTATTGATTTTACGGGTTGCATAACGTGAAATGTGATTGGCACTGATTTAATGCTTCTTTCACTAACATCCAAGCGAACCGGTCAGAATGTTAACACGTAACAAGTTTCTACTATAGTAAACACACAAAACAGAATTCATATAAATTACTAGCAAAAATTCGAAGATCCGCAAGCGTCGTAGCGTAACGTTTGGTGAAAAATAAAAACAAGTAATAAATTCAGATTGCTTCTTCGAATTCAGATCCGTGAAAGAAAATGATGGTGCACTTTGAATAATTCATCATGGATTCTTTACGCACGTAGTCTTGTACCTAAATAACGTAGGATTTCATTTTAAACACACTCTCTCTCTCTCTCTAGCCTTTTTCAACCGCTAAGGTGTAGCCGGCCTCCGTCAGTTTCTGCCATCTTTTTCGGTCTTGAGCAGTCTCCATCCATTTTGTTCCCGCCAGTCTTTTGATGTCGTCATGC